CGGTGGGGCCGCGAGTTCCTGAGGGAGGGAGCCCACCGCCTCCCGCAGCCTCCCGCCGGGGGAGGCAGATCGGGTCCGCCATCTCCAGGCACAGCGCGGGTGTTTTACCCCTTCCACAGGCCAGGGATAACAGCGGGGCATCCTCCAAGGCAGGATGTGGCCTGTCACCATCCCCAGGTGACAGCAGGCCGCGGCCACCTCATGCCTGCTTGGGGCTGCGGGTGGGTGACAGCTCTCGGTACCTAGGGATCTGCTCTAGGGACGAACGGCTCCGTGTTTGCGCCTGCCGGTGTTACCACGCTCGGCCGCAGGCACACACCTCACTGACGTTCTGTACCCCGGTGGGGTGTCACCACTGCCCAGCCTTATGAGCGGGTGCCTTGTCCTCGCCTGGGGCAATGGCGGACTGATGGAAAAAAAAGAGTTCAGTTTAACTGGATGGATGATGTAGATCTACTAATACTCAAAAGTACTGGCTCAGTTTTAAGAATGCTTTTCATAAAATGAGGCATCTGGAGACACTGTTCATAGGACTGAAGTAGACTTGACTCTCCTTGTTTTGCCACTGTTAAAGTTTTAAGAAGAGCAGCCAGCAATTACAGTAGTCAACAGATAACGCTGCCAGAGGGCACACAGGGAAGCTGTCCTGCTCTCCTTTGCCCTGTGGTAGGTTCCGCGAAATCAAGACTTTGCATACAGTATTTATAAGATACAAACCAAGTCTAGTTACACAAATGCATGACGTAATCCATTTCTGTATTTTTACTTGATGCATTTCAGGTGTATTCATCTTGCACAAACATCCTGGAACCAAACTTTCAAAATAATAAACATTATAAAAATCATCTTGTACCATTCATAGTTCAGAGACAGTTCTCTCTTTTCTAACAGAAATGCTGATCCTGGCTTCTAAAAGGGTGGGTGACAAAGATGTCCTCCGCAGTTCCTTGATCAGAGCACCAGATGTGGGCCAGCATACTCCAACCCTCCTGCTGCTACAAATGTGCTTCATCTCCGTTACTGGTGTCTGGAAGGAGCTTGGGATCAGCGAGTAAGGCATCTGCATGGCTCAACAAGGTGTTTTGTTACAGCTCTCATACTGAGTGACAGTACAGCAGGTCTTACATTCAGTTTTCAGTTCAATTTTATTAACCCAGAGAAGCAAGTTTCTCCACTCCTGAATTACAGGTGACAAAGCTGAAGTTCAAGATCATGTAGCATGACATTACCATGGGAAAATCTTTTGTGTACTCATTCCCTTGCAATAAAGATCATCTGCTGGACTGACAGCATTGCTGACCTTTTATCTTCTAATCTTCTAAACCACTATTGATCAAAAAAGATCTAACTGCTCAGACTAATTGTTTTGATGTGGACTGTAATGGTACTTGAAAACCATCACTCGTTAAATACTTGCATTTAGTAGTGAAACTTACACTTGAACAAAAGGGGGAACAAAAAAAAATAAAAGAGATGAGTACACATTACTGGAACTCTCAGATAGCTAAATAATCCAGATGTTGATTCTCCAAAATAAGTTGAAAGACTGAGAGAAGCAGACTGATATGGCTGATGTGAACAGTAACACAGATAAATTAAACTCTGAAATTAAGTCAGTTTTTCACTTGCTAGCAGACGGCTGAACTGACAAACAGAAGCTGCGGTGAGGTCCTGTGAAAATTTATAGCATTAACTAACATTTTTCTGCCAAGTTAAACTAAATGGTACTCAGTGCTAAGACCTGCTAAGAGCCTCTCAGATGAAGGGTCCTAAGTCTTCATTGAAAATCAGTGAGATTACAGGTGGCATGAATGCAGAGAAGCTGCACTCAAATGTGTGCTAAAGGTCTCAAAAAAATCTTAAGAAACCAACCAACCCATCCACCTCCACCACCTTGAGTCTGGTTAAATGACAGCAGCCAAATCTCAGAACTTTTGGAAGTCCAACTCAGATGCAAATGCCTAGGATTTGTAATACAAGCTCTCGCATATTAAAAAGGCGCTAAATAAGAAAATAAATGAATGGTCTGGAAATTAAGGAATTTTAAGGAAAAATACCAGTAAAGTTTTAAAACTATGCTTAAGTCCTAATATTTGAGTTGGAATGAGGATTTTCCTCCAGGGATTCAGAAGTGGAAGAGAAACACTGTCAAGTGTTTCCTGCACTAAATTACCTGTAACTACATCAGACACAACAGAATGTTGGTTGTTTATCCTCATATAGTTGAGATTTGCTTGTTTTAACTAACGCCATACCCATGACATTAAAGTTTTATTCCTCAAATTAATTTACAAGGGAAAAGTAAACAGGATCTTCATAACAAGTAATTTCCTTGAAAAGTAACAGGAAAAAAAAACCCCGAAACTACTTATCATCCTTTTTAAGAACAAGCAGTTGCACTGATAATTGAGCTTTCTATTAAAAACATTACAACAAAATACTTAGGGTTAAATATTTTATTTTATAATAAGCCTTACACCAGGATCACTAAACATTTTGTGTAATCACCCAAATAAGTTACATTCATTCTGAGCTTTCATGCAGTTTTAAAAAAGTTTAATTTCTCCAAAAATAATTTTCAAGTGAGCTGTAATAAACTCTGCATAACTAAGCCAGAATTCTGTCACGTCAGTATTTCCATTTCTCCTCCTGCTCTGACAGTACAGACCAATTAAAAAAGCCCCACTAAATCTGCACTAATCACGTGGCAACTTGCTGAAATTACTGACTTTCTGAATACTCTGAATAACAGTAGTAGCGCCTCAAAAGTATAAGCGAGACCACTGAGGTGAGTTGCAAGAAGTGACATTTTGCCTGAGGAGAATACTAAAAGAATCTAAAACTTTGTTGCAAAGGGACAGACCACCACGGAGGAGCATGCAGGACACAAACAGGAGGCAGCAAACCTCACATTCACAAGCTTAACCGCAGCTTTTAAGGGGACACAGCATTTATGCAGTCTTCTACTATTTCAAAAAGGTAGTGATATATATCAGTCCTCCGAGCAATGTCAAGGGCCGTTTCATCCAAGTTGTTTTTCAGGTCTGGTTTCACATAGCGATTCATCAGCAAGAGCTCAAGTGTTTCTCTACTGTTTTTGTTTCCTGCTGCAATATGCAGTGGTGTCAGCAAACCATTTGTCTGCGCGTTGATGTCTGCACCCTGCTGAAGTAAGAAGGCAGCCACCTTTGTATTGTTCCACTTGCAGGCGCTGTGCAGAGGCGTCCAGCCATCCACCGTCTGTGCGTGAACGTCGGCCCCTTGGGCAACCAGTTCATGTGCAATGTCCAAGTGCCCGCTGTAGGCAGCTCGATGGAGAGGAGTGTACTGATCTTCATCACGAGCGTTAACTGGAGCCAGCTTTTCGGAAAGGAGCCTCTTCACTGTACTCAGCTATTTAAAGAAAACAGGTAATTCAATATGAAACTCTGCAGACAAGATGTATGGCTCATACTGTTCTGTAGTTTTATTCTGAATTTCTGTCAGTCTCAAAAAGGCTTAACTGTAACAAGAAATTTTAAAACGAAACCAGTTATTGTTACTGGGGTGGGGGGTTTTGGTGGGTTTTTTTGATTTGTTTTTAAAGACATATAACATGAACATGAGTTGAAATGCCTTAACCTCTACCTTACACCCTCTCCCCATTCACTGTGAAGACATAAGTACCTCCACAGAACTGTAGATGGAGCTGGTGTGTGTAAGAAAGGCAACTAATGAAAGTAAATGTACACAAGGGTGTAATAAACTACATAACAGGAATCTTGGTCATCTCTCCCTCACTTCCAAGAATAAAAAGCTTTTTCTCCATAAAAAGATAGGAAAACAGTCACCCATTATTTGCCTATGGAGCTTTTGAGAAAATAAAATTTCAGATTCACCCTTTCCACCCAAGTCTTACTTGTCTGGAAGAAAGAGCCTGGCATGCTTTCAGTTTGCAGAAGTTTTAGAAGAGTGATGTTACTTTAACGTTGAACAATTAAATCTTTTGTTCTGAAAGCTAATGGATCCAGAGATATTTTAGTGTGTGTGGGCTACAAAGGGAAATGTTTTTACATGCAGTGGCTTGCAAAACTGGATCAAAATAGTTCAGAGAGAAAAAAGAAAAGTGTAGGCAAATTTTTGTTTGTGGGTGAAACTGTAGATATCTGCTCAAAGTAACATTCTTGTCAGTGATACATGTGAATAGAATATGCCTTACCCGATTGTTTTCTGCTGCCCAGAGTAGCAATTTCTCTGGATTTTTTTCCATTCTTTTTTCTTGCATTTCATACCATTCCTCACTTCTTTCTTGTTCATCATCGTCATCATCAGACTGTCCTGACCAACAGCTCTGAGTTCCTACAGGAATCAAATGTCTGTGCGTCTCCAGCAGTTCAAGTTGATTAAAATTCTCCGTAAAGTCTTCGAACTGCTCGCTGTCATCATCTTCTTCATCAATCTGTTTGTCTTTATTCATTTTCAGCTAGCATCTGTAAGTAGCAGATACACAACGATATTTATAATAACTTTCACTGTTACCCGTGCACTAATGGTTAATGAAAACACCTGATGGATGATGCAGACATCAGCAACATCACAAACAGCAAAACTCAAGAGCAGACTCAATGTTCCTTCACTAAACCGGGCTTTGCCGGCTGCGCCAAAATCCCCAGTTAATACCGACGCAATAAAACCACTGCGCTACCCCCATCTAGAAACGGCACCACCTGCAGACACGCAGTACGAGACTGAGCGTGTGTTATGTAGAGCCCACTCGAAACACGCGTTTTATGAACAACTGGAGGAAAGCCCAGACCTCCAGGCAGTGCCCCTGCCCCGCCCCGCGGAGCCAGCCCCGCCCA